ATTCAAAGCAACCGGGCAGGACTGGACATCTTCTTTGGTGATAGGCGAGAAGACCTTGAGCTGATCTGTGCGTGTGTCATACAATGATCTGTTACATTCATCTAAATCCATTTCCTCCTCATTTGTTCCACTCTTGTTGGTGAAATTTTCAGAAAGTACTTGAAGGTCCTCCAGCTGAGAATCACTTTTGGGATTGTTAGCATCTTGCTCTTCAAGTTCCACATTTGTAAAGCAGCCTGCATCTTCTTCCTGTTTTGTGGCACAGGCTTGATCTGCTTCCTGCTGATTTGTAGTCTTAGCACATTCCTGAGCAAGAGACTGAGGACACTGTGGTGGTGTGGAAACTACTGCTGTGTCATACTCTTCAGCATCCTGGAGTTAAAGAAAAGACAAAGAGAATCAAGCAGCTTGTCTTAATGATATGTGAATGTAGGTTCTGTTTCAATCACCTAAAGTACCTGTTGATGTGGAGCCTGAACATCATCGGTTAGAGAAATGTCATCACTTGGACATTCCCTCTTTCTAGACCTGAGTGACCGAGCCTGGGGTGGAGCTAAGTCTTCTTAAAACAAAGCAATCCGTTCAATTAATTAAATACTGTGGAGAAGAATCACTACATATAATCACCATTAACATTTAGTTGGTGCTATGTCAAAGAGGAGAGTCAAACCCTTTTTAGTTCTTAAGTCACATACAGCAAGTTTAATCACAAGTAGGCCAGACAAGTAAAATTACTATATAATACCTTATATATATTTATGTATTATTAGTAGGATTATTCCAAAATCTTTTTCCTTTATTACTATTTATCTTGTGTTAGCCTTCTGTAACAGGAGTTACAAAATAGCTATACAAAGAAATGGCTTGTTGTTTTTTCTGGATTATTGTACCTAATTAGTAATAATCGATCCAGTCCTTTTACTCCACATAAAATATCATTATAGATGATGTTATGTTTCCTGCTTCCCTCTTAACCAGAAATCTCTTGAAAAAAAATTATGTCAATGAGAGTTTTGTCTATAAATAAAGGATATATAAAAGTCACTTTGCCAAAAACTGATTGCAATATCTACTTTGTGGCAGAAATGTTCTTTCTGGATAAAAATGACTTTTTTTTTTTATCATTCATCAGAGATATGTTGAGATATGTTTGGTAGATTATAGGCCAACAAGTCATTTACAGTAGTTTAAATGCTGGTAATCACTCTCTGGCACAAGACAGAAGTCACAGGACACAGCACAACACACTCCTTTAAATGGACTGAAATCAAAAATTTTAACTTTTTTCAAGATCAACTTATTTTAAACCATAATTAATCGTATAATTATTTATATTTGGCGGCTAAATTAGCAAATATCTGTGTCAGTAGCATCTCCTGTTACCACTGCTGTTGATCTTCGTTTTGCCTTTCGCCATGTCCTCCTACGAGAAAGATGAAGACGTGAAAATATCAAAGATATATCAGCTGATAAGCCAGCTAATTTAAGATTATGCAAAAGAGTCAGCTAACTGTTAAAGACATTTTTCTCGAAACAAATGTATTAGCTAGCTAACAAACGTAAACTTTGCTTACTCAATGAGAAAACGTACAGATAATCGGAGCACCGATTAAATGTGTCTGCTTACATTAAGTAATAAAACTATGGGGATTAAATAACTCCTGTGACAAACTGACGACTTTTTTTCAGCTGACTTTTTCTTCCCACGGGGACATACGTCCACCCACCAGATGCACGGACCGTGTGCTTACGTTTTACGTCAGTGATTGACGTGTTTCGTCAACACTTGAAGCTGATTTCAAAAGCAACTCAGTTCTCAAAGACCCGCAGATGTTTCCAGCCTGGTACAAAAACATTTCGTGGCACTTTCCCCATTTCACAAAAGTTGTATTGAAGTAAAGTATTTTTTTAATATAACTTATCCATCTGGAGTCAAATAAGGCCTGATAAAGGGCTTTTGTTAGCAGTGGTGTTCCCAGAATCTTAAAACACTGGACTTTCAGACAGTGTGTGAATGTGAGAGTGAATGAATAGTGGCATTGTAAAGCGCTTTGGGTGCCTTGAAAAGCGCTATATAAATCCAATCCATTATCATTATTATTATTTCAATCTAACAGATAACAGCACAATAATAGCACCTTTTAAAATTTAATTTATATATTTTATAGTAAACTGAATACTAAATGTCAAACACTTTCTTCCTAAAGCTTAAAGTCTCACAATTATTTTTTAAGCAACAGGAGTAAAACCTTAAGAAAAAAAGTAAAAATGTTTAGTTCAGTTTTTAAAGTCAGTTTAAAGTAGAAGCTCTGAGACAAAGGCCAGTACTGGCCTTCTACTTCCATTGTGCCATAATAGCCCTTTTACTGTTTTTTAACTCTCACGTCTGTCTTGTATTTTGGAAGCTCACCTCTTCTTCACCTTTCCTGCTCTTTTGCTTATCAATCTGCTGCACTCTTAATATCCTCTTTCTCCCCGTGAGGAGTTTGAATGTTCTCTCTATGTTCTTTTGGATTTTTCTCCGAGTATTCCAAATGTTTTCCAATATCCAAAAATATGCACCTGACTGAAAATTCTAAATCACCCACCTGATTTGGCTACTAATTTCAAAAGAAATCTGATCGTCTGAACATTAAACCAATGCTTATATGTGATTTTCTCTAAAATATGAATTGGTTTGCAGGAAATCTAATTGACCAATAGATGGTGGCAAAAACACAGATGAACGAAGCAGTTACTAGTTTGTGCTTAAAGATAACATTTAATAATATATACTACTAAGAACTACTCGATAGATTTGACATAAAAGTTTAATATCTCTAGATGAAGGAACAAAAAACTATTTTGATGTTGGGCTCACAGGTGATGAAACTGTACAAGTAAAGTAGGGAGTAAACTTTTTTCCCTTGTTTTTGGAAGTACTGCTTAATTTAATATTCATTTAATATTACTATATTGTCAGTGATGTACTTATGAGAGTAAAATAAGATCAGAACCTGCTTATCCTCCTGTAATTTCTGCCCACAGCTCCACTGATGTGACCATACCATTTTGTGAGGGGTATGCCTCACCCCTGCTCTCACTCCTCAGCACCAAAAACTCAAAGATAGTAAAAATCTATCCAGGTGGCATCCCAGCATTCCACAGAGTAGTAGTTATTTTTATTTTTTAAATCCATAACTCCACCTGAGTTAAATGCTATCATTAGAAAAAGTGAATCAGAACTACTGAGCATTCTTACAAAGTGCTTTTTTATTACTTCATAGACTTCATATATGCTTCTGAAATTTTCAGATTGTGGTCCTTGTGGAAATGCTGATGTAGCTTCGGGGACAACGTTGACAGGAATTCTTATTATGTCA